TGATCTGCTCAGGTCCCTTCCGACCCGACTAACTATGAAACCTAAGAGAAAAGGTTTGGCCACTTGCCCAAGATCACAGAGAGAGTTGCTGTCACAAGAACCAAGGATTATCAGGCTCCTAGACCATGTGCAGGACACTAGACACGCGATACCTACGTCTTAGAAAACGTAGGTGAGAAGAAGCACTTGAGATAAAAGAAATTCACAAAAACACACCTCTGTAATGAATGAACATTATCTTTATTACAGCAAGTCCAAGAGTAGAACAGGACAAAGTGTAGACTATTTTCACACCTTGGTAATTCAGTTAGGACCCATCCTTCAGAGCAAGATAACAGTTGAGGAGATGAATTAAATGCCAGCAGTCTCTACACTCTCAGGAAAAATCATCTAAATCCACCTCTTCACTCCTTGGAGAAGTTAGCAACAGATTTTTAGTTCATGAAGAAATTGGGGACTATGGAAATAAAAAAGCTGCATTATAATTTACTCAGCATTTTGGCTAAGAACAAAGTATGAAAAATGCTTTCATATGCTGTGCCATGCACTTGCAATAGGGTGTATGAAATGATCTGGGCTGCAATTCTTAATGGAGCATCAGGCATTTGATTCAGGTGTTCTTCTTATTTTGGATCCTGTAGGTAGATTCTAACTTGAACTCTATATTGTGATGCTGTTCATGGAACAAGTGCCCGGTTTGGGGAAGAAGCAGCCATAGAAGGGTAGGTTTCAGTAATCATCTTTGCATCACTGATCTGTGCAAGTCTGGAAACACCATGCAGGGAAAGAGGTATGTAAAAGAAAAGGCTCAGTGCCAGTAGTAGTTTAATGGTGACTGCATGTCTATTTATACAAGACATTTTATAGCAAGATCTCCTTGAAAACCTCTCCAGGTTGCTCCTTAGGGACCCACATTTGGTATGGAATGTTTCTTAAAACAGAACATTGAACAATCCTGCAACCAAGACGCAATATATCTATAGGGCCCTCCTACTGAAGCAGGAATGCCCTAGGAGCTTCATTATATAAACACACCCTTGGAAGATAAACTACCCACCAAGCATTAAGCTAAGCTCAGGCAGGAAAGGAACATGTACATCTGCCAAAAAAAAGGCATGTATTCAGCAATTTAGGGTGCAGTGTGGCTACCCCATCCTGGCTCCCCATAAAATTCAGGCAAACAATATTTCCTGACCGAGCAATTGCCTTTGCAGATGTCTTTGGTGCAGGTTGTTCACATTTCTTGAAGAAAGCATATATGGCGGGGATTGAGGCAGACTGAGTGTTGCAATTGGGTTAGAATATGACTGCACATTAAGGGCCAGAATCTCAGCTGGTGCAAATTAGGAAAGCATGGTGGATGTTCCACTGGTATAAATCACCAATCTATAATGACTATATATTGAGCTGCATCTTTCACTGCTGTGTATCTGGCCCTAGTGCTGCTTTTGCAGTATAGATTGCACCTGTGCTGTGCGATGCAATTTCCACTCTACTCATGGCATGGAAAGGAGCTGAGACATTTTTTACAAAAAATAAATGCAATAGGAAAAAGTGAGCAAGTAACATGCAATCCAACTTCCCCACCACCAACAGTATGGCTAATTCTAGTCAAGAATAGGCATAGAATGCCATAAGATTGACAGAGGTTGCCGGACAAGTAAACAGGGATTGTCAGCCATTAAGAATAGTTATAGCAAGAATAAAATCACATTTTACAATGCTGTATCAAATAGTAAAAGACTGAAGATTAATTGATAAATGCTCACACATAATGCATCTTATAGTTGATGCAAGATTGGAAACCATACAGATCAGATAGCCCATTTGAGATTTCAGTGGATGCTAGCTATTTACAAGAACGCTATGCAAACCTTAATTATAAATGAAAAATAAATCTAAATTAAACAGGTCGGAAGAGTTTGGGTGCTGAGCTATCTCAGTAATCCAAACATCTGTGCCAATATGATTCCAGTAACAAGCTCAGACAGTAGCATCTATATTGCATGCACTTGGCCAGGTCATTTTTCTAATATTTTTTTCCTTATATTAACCCATTTCTTTAGTATGTACTATAAACTGTATTATAAAAATCAAGAAGCTGGATTTTTTTAAAGAAGAACTGAAAATATTATTTTGACGTGCAAGTGAATTATAACACAACTGTTCTCCTTCCTTTTAGATACATATACTCAGTATAACGAGCAGATACTTGACTTCAAATCTAGACTTACACACACTGTCATTTTACATTGCTCTAACAGCTTTGTTAGAAGGAAAAGTTATGCTAGACTTGAAACTCTCAGAGCTCTCCATGTACCATCATTGTCACCGATACGAAATTATTTTGATCAGCCGCATTCTCTGGTATGCATGCAGTCAGCGCTGATGGCAGATCCCACAAAGGGTAATTCCCATGAGGACTAAAACAATCACACAAGCCAATTGTAAGGTCACCAGTGTTGAAGCCAGCTGGGTACTTGTCCACTGTTAGGGGAAAGAGTAAATAGGATAAAAGTTGAGTGAAGTAGACAGTGACTGAGCCCTTCACAATAGAATCACTGAATGCTGAAACATTTGAGTCACTTGATCATTTCCAGCACTTTGAAAGGCCCTCATCTTTCTGTTTGTCATGTTACTTTACAAAACTATCCAAGAGTCTTGCCTCTTTGATGACGGATTTTTGTTTGAGGTTCAGATTCAGACATGCTGCAAAACTTTTTCATATTTACAAGCAAGAGATCCACTAAGCAGCATTTATGAGAAGCCACAGTCACTTTTGTAGTTTGATTTTAAGCTCAGAATAAACCACTATCAACATCAAGAATAGCAGACCGTCATCATTTAGTAATTCTTACAGCGGAGGTAAAGTTTCTTTTTTATTGCTTAAGTGAGCAAGCACTTACTGGTTAAGTGAGTACTAGTAAAATATCAAAACTACTTCTAAATGTACTTAAGATTTAAATAGAAGAGGCCAGATAGTAATCTTGGTTATTTTGGCGGATGTCCAGATAATTCTACCGCAGTGAATGGAGTTATTCTGATTTATGTCCTTACTTGACCAAATTTTGGTTCAAGTGCTGTTTACTGTTGCACTTTCCCCCAAATTAAAGCGATAGTGAGGGCTTCCCTAAATACCACCTTTTGCTTAATAAGGGCCCTTCCTGAAAGCCTTTGCAGAGGGAAGTCCCACTACCAATGGAATTTAACCCATTACTTTTGCTGTTAGCAGGCCCGATTTAACAGGCGCCTGTGGTTCATTTCTTTTCACTTTAATGTATTTTTTGTCGCAGTGGGTTGGGACTTTTTTGTATTTTTTTAGACTTTGTAAGTCTTGTACAAGATGGAGATCTGAATACTCAGAGAATATTGATTTTAATGTGTCAAGGTCAATCACTATTATATTGTTTGATTAGTGGAAAAGAGACTATAAACTATTGCGATCCATGTGCTTTAAACAAACCTCAAATTACTTCACGTGAAAATTCAGTTTGTAAGCAAACAGGATAAATTTCAACCTCATGCTCAAGGCCTGTGTACCACTTCCATCCCACAGAAGTCCTGAGAGCACAGCTTTTACAGGGCTCCTTTTTGGTTCACAGACCTTGTGTGAGCACTCTGTGACAGATACCCACTTAATTCTCTGTATTTCCAGTAACTATGACATAGTTCTACACTTGGAACAGAAGAAATCACAGTATTGTCATCACAGCAGAGAAACAATTACTGAGGCTAGTGGAAACCACTGTGACCATGCTGAAGAGGAAACCACTTGAATTAGGAGCTTCCAGGAGATCATTTCTTAAAAGTTGATCTCATTTCTACTAATTCACACTTGCCTCTATCCTGTTATAACCATACATACTAGTAACTCATCACATTAGCCTGTAAACAGTGTTTCAGGTCCTCTGTTTTAGATATCTCTAAGCTTGGTGCTGATATGGCATTTACGCTGGTGAGTCTTTTATAGTCAGCTCTGGTTCATTTGTTCCCTCCTGCAGGCAGGCGTTTAAAGAAATGCATGTTCTTAGAAGACATCGTTCTTTTTCTTTATTATACATCTTACAGATTTGAAGTAAGACTCTCAAGACAGCAGTAGAAAAAGCAATAATAAAAATTTTGCCTCTGGAATGAGGATCAAACCAACCATATCTGGCTAGGAAAGTGCCACAGCACTGTTGCACCACTCTACTTCTTGTCCTGCAACTTCTGTACATAGTTCTGTAGTTTCCCATGAGACCAGCACCGAGCATTGGGTTAACAGAATTTCTTGTGATAATGCACCCATGGGTTATTCACTTCTATGCCCAATAAGTGATCATACACGTGGACCTTCCCAGTGTTTCTTGATCCTCCACCTAAGCACCTAATAATTTTGCATTCTCTTTTCAGGCACACCATAGATCGTCAGTGTCACTTCTTGCACAAGTTAAAGCATGTATAAGTATGCCCCACTTTTAAACACGTGGTCTTAGCCCATATATAAAAATATAGCTCTGTGACTTTACCATGGGCAGCCAAAAGCCCAGATTCCAAAGGCCGCTATACTTACTGCACGTACAGTGAAGCACACTGGCAATTCAGATGCGTTCGTATCCTCTGTTTGTCTTCCTTCTGGCGATCAGTATCGTGATGAGTGCAATGACAACGATTGCCAGGATACTCAGGGCCACTATAACAGGAACTCTTTTCTTGTTTCTATCCAGGGGACATTCTTCCTCTGCAATTTGAAGTTAGAGCATACAGCAAAACATGCCCTTAGAAAAGATGCCAATACTTTGTTACAGCAAAACATGCCCTTAGAATAGATGCCAATATTTTAAAATACAGATACCAAGGACAGCCCAGGATCAAACTTAATCGGTTTTCCTTTGTGGAGGATCCTATCACCCAGGTCTACCTCATGGAAACAGCTATGTTCTTCACAGAGAATCTACTTCACAGTAACTCTTTTACAAACAAAATCCGTTCTAACACATTCTGCTAGAGGGACATGTGATGTACTCGGTGCAACATTAAAAATAACGTGGAAGATACATGTGGAACATGTGGAAGACATATGTGGACTCAGATCAGAGGATAAATCAGATAATATTAAATGAATTACAAATCTGGTGGACTCAACAAGATTTCCCAGGCAAGAAACATGATGGGTTTTTTTTAAATTAAAAAATCTGGTGAAGAATGTATTGCATTTGAAAGGTTTTCTCACTTTATTCCAGTCATGCACTTGGTCCAATAAATGATATCACCCTCCAAAAGTCCTATTTGAAAAACCTGATTAGCTATATATTACCTCTTACCATTTGTCAGCCCTTACACAAGCATTACTCCCTTTGAATTCAATGGGAATGTTGCTTGATTAAGGATGTAGTGGAGTTTGATCGAAGATTTACAGGCCTAGGCTAAATGATAGGTCTGCATGAGAAAGAGCCGAACAGAGAATTCAGAGTCTGACCCATTGGCATAAATGGACATTTATAGGGTCTTTTAAAAGTCCTTGTGCACTTTTAAACTTTCATAACTTAGCTTGTAGAAAAAAACCCTAACCGCTTAATACATTTGCTTTTAAATGCCGTTTACAGATTGTTTCTATCATACCTACAGCCTAAGTTATTAAAGTTTAAAAGTTCACAACGACTTTATGAAGACCCTGTATAGGACTAAGAATGTCATGACCTAGCTTATTTACAGATACAGTGCAGCAAGTGTAACACTGAAGGGGAAGAGGGGTAAAGCCTGGGTTTCATTGGTGATGATCAACCCCAGAAGCTGCAAGACACACTCCTCTGATTTTAATGCATGATCAGGGAGCTGCTAACATGTTAGGCAGGGTAGCTTCTACTGATCAATTAAACCTCCTCTGTTTAATCAAGAATCACCACAACTCAGCAATGTGTCCAGCTTACACCCATGATGTGCTGGCATCCAAGTAGCTCTGCATGAATCTTCCTAGGACTTTGAGCATGGGGAAAAGGCAGATGGTGGTTGTCCTTCAGAAAAAAAAATAAGTCTGGTGTGGACAGCTGTAACATCTGAGGCGTTTCAAATACCCCTGAAGCACTTCAGAAGGTGAGACCCAGACAATGCATATGCCCTTTGAAGCCCTCCAAAAATGGCAGAATTACTCCAAAAGTAACACTGAAGGAAACAGGTTCTGTTTAGAAGTGTTTAGAAATGAAGCACTTCCTCTTACATATGCACTCTCTACAAAGTGTGATAGGGGACCTGTGGGTCCAGTGGTCTGCCAAGGGGGGTGGAAGGAAGTAGGACACAGTGTTACTGAGCACTGTGTTACTGAGCACTTTCCTGTCTACTTCATCTCCATTCTCCAGGCGTGCCCCCTCCCCATAACCAGGAGACCCCCATGCCTCCCCACTGGAGCTGGGAGACTATGAGCCCCCTGCTGAAATCGGGAGACCCCAGAATCAGGAGACCAGAGGCCCTGCACCCTCAACAGGAACTAAAAGAAGCTGTACTCCTTCCTACACTGATAGTCTGCTCTGCTCCCTTCCCCCATGGTGGTAGGGAACAGAGCCACAGGGCATCACAGTCCCCTGCCATGTCCCCTAACTGGAAAGCATGCTGCTGTATGTGGCTGCAGTGACTCTGAAGCACTCCAGCCAGGAAAGCAAAGCTGTCTGTGACTGAAACACTCTATTTCTGGAGCACAGCTGCACTCTGAAATGCTTCAAATGTTATATCTGCCCATACACATGTGCAGTAACTATTATATCATAAAGTATTAGCACACCCAAATGATTCCTTCCCATGCTGTTCATTTTATTCTTAAGGCCAGCTCTTTTTAACCTCCTGGTAATAGTTCCTAGATTGCTGCAAGCTGTGGTGAAGCATGGTATGGTTTGGGCATCTCAGCAGAAGGGAATCTTTTCAGTAGCCAAATGTGGTTAATCTGGGGAATTTTCTGGGGTGCAAGACTTCCCGTGTAACTGCAGCAAAGCTGCAGTGTCTGTTTCTAATCCAGACCCTGTTGCTGGACCAGCCTTATGGTTTTATCTGATGCTTCCTGCAGAAGCCTGATGCACCTACATTCTGCTGCATGCTGCCGTTCTCAGAACAAAGCTTTGGTGAATTCGGAGTTGTGTCGGAGATAGACTTGAGCTGCAAATGCATCTGTGGTCTGCATTCCTCTGTTCCATAGCCTTGGGTCTGGAACTCTGTTTTAGGTCCAACTTTGGTCTGTGAGCTTCAAGAACGTTTCCCACTATAGGGAATGCAATTTAGAAACCACCTCTAGGCATTTCCAAACTCCAATGACTCACTGATGCAAAATGCCATTGTAGTGTGTGCAAGCCCGTTAGAACCTCAAACCAAATTGCCACTGGCATTTTCTTTCTTCCTTTTTTTTCATAAGCAAATCTGGAGCAACAGAAGTGAAACTGCTGTGTCTCCGAGACCTGATGTGAGATGGCCTGCTTCAAAGCACCAGCTGTTGCTGTGGATTTCTGCATTTGGCATCCACAGGATGTCTCACTCTCTCTCATCCTGTCTCTTGACCGCTGGAGAATTCCTTTGAACACAATATGCCTTCTCAGCTTTTTGCCTCACATCAAGGGTAACTCCATTTTGGATTAGTAGACTGTGTCCTGTTCAGGCAATCTCTGGTCTCATACGACACTTAGAAACATGGCTCTACCAGAGGTTAGATCCAAACAGATCCACTTTTAGGGGAAATTAAAATCTGAATTTAGATTCCAACTTGAATGCTATGAGCCACATGAGCTGTTTTGTCCCATGGAAGACTTTTTTTTTCTGAGAATGGGTGCACAGATCCAAAGAAACACCAGTTCAATCTTACAAAATTTACTGATTTTTTTTTTTAAATCTTAAAACATCTGCATAGGAGAAAAAAACCCTAAACATGTGTGTGTGTGCGCGCGCGCGCGCATGTCAACACACACGCACGCTTGCACACACACACAAACACACACACTTTCCCATTAAGTTACTTTTTTAACTGAATGAGAAATACCCGTCTCCCTGAGAGAGGAGGAGCAGCTAAAATGGTGAACTAACAAAGGAAGAACAGTCTAATTTTAACAGGCTCTGAAAAAAAAAGAGGCTGCAAAGAGGAAGAAATACAGAGAAGGCAGTGTTTTCAGAGCAAGTAGAAAGATGGGGGCAAAAGAAAAACTGTATAATTTCTTAGTGTGTGAAAATGGCAGGAAGGATGAGAAATCCTGTTTTCTGAGGTTCTAGTATGGTACCATCCTAAAACATAAGCACAAAAATGTAGAGCTGGAAGGGGCCTTGGGAGAGTATCAAGCCTAGTGGTTCTCAGCCTTTTGATCTTGCAGCTTATGCCCATCCCCGGGAGCACCTCTGTTGCACCACGGCTGACCTGCCACCACAGGACCCTCTTCCACTCCAGCCTGCTTGCCAGGGAAGCTGCAGAGACAAACAGGATAGCTCTAGAATGGAAGCAGCACAACTGTATCTACCTGGCACTACGCCTGGGCTAACGAGTTCTGCCTTCGTCACAGCTAATCACAGTTCTACCCACAGTAGCTCAGTTGCTTCCAGTGGTGGAGAAAGTGCACGTGGAGAAGCACAATGCTGGGAACCTCCAGGGGTTGGCCTATCCCCTCTTATAACCATGCTTGTAGCCCACCCACAGCATTTCTGCAGGTCACTGGCTGAGAACCACTGATCTAGTACGTGCGTATGCACTGGGGCGGGATCGCCTTATGAAAATTAATGTCATACGCTCAGAAACGCAGGGTTGTTTTGGAGGTGGACTTATCTGTGGTTGTATCTGTGGTTTGCAAATATATGGCCTTTCCCCTTCCCATCAGGTATGACTAGGCTGCTTGATTAAATTGTTGCGCCTGTATACCAGAGGGAATTAGGCAGGGAAAAATAAGCGGAGATGAGCTTTGCAGTTAGATCTAACCCCAGAAGGGATGGTGGCTATTCTGCCCGTGTCTTTACTAATCGCAAGTTCCATTGTCTCTAGATCAAGATGAACTAAATGTTCCACCTTCTGCACTGATGTGTCCCCAGTGTCATTGCTCCAATAGGGAAGAGTTGTGGGAAATAATTTTCAAGAGACAGGCGTTCTCCACAGAAGATCGGGCCAGTCCCATAGAAAGCTTGGATGACAGAGACGTTGAAATTCTTTCTGCATACAACGGGGTGGAGAAAGCTGCTTTAATGGCTGCCAATACATCTACAGTGGCAGTGGAGAGCAAGAAAAGACGGACAGCATGAAGCGTGGTGATTTTTTAAGACGGAAGGAAAATCTAGGGTGAAAGAAAGGAGTCCCTCTATCCCCTATGCCATCTCCACCAGGCTAGGGACTGAACTACAACTGGGAAGGAGCCAGTAACTGGCAGGTGGAAGTACTGGGGAAGCACCCTGTCTTGGAGACCCATTACGTTACACTATTTTCCTCGTATACAGAACAGGATCACCACGTTTTCTGCCTTCCACCCAGCAGAGAGACAAGTCACTTTATGCCGCATTAAAAGCTAGAAATGTTGCTCTGTGGTTGGTGGGATCCTAGAGCCAAAACCAAGCATGGAGAAGACAACTCTCATCCATACCTTTCCCAAACTTGTTATCAACAATTCTGAAAGCTTGTAGTTGCATGTTAACAATGATCATCTGGAAGTGTTCGTCCAAGTCCAGTGTCTGTTTGCTGAGACACTTGAAGGAATCCCCCAGTTTAGTTGTAAACATGGGCTTGCTAACTATCTTCTTCCACGAACCTAGAGGTCAGAGAGAGAGAGACATGGACATAAAAAGAATACACAATAAGGACCTGTTTCTGAGAGCGAATGATGACACTTCTGAAGACCCTTTCACAGCACTGTGACAGGGCCTCACCCACTTGTATGGCTGAAAGTAGGACACTGTCTTTTTATCACAGTGCCACATCAGCTCCAAAGATTTTATATTTATGAGAGGGAGAGAGAGAGAAGCAACAGCCTTAACTACCAATGGCCAACCCTCAAGAGGACAAGCATCAAATTGTGTTTGAAAAAGCACACAAAGTATTACTTACTTCTTTAAATTATATCTGGACACCTTGAGTCTGCAAGATTGGGTTAAAAATTGTCAGAAACAAACTTTCATGCTACATCTCTAGTACTGCCACTTCTAGCCAAGATTGGCTTTCTCATGGGCGTTTGGCATTTCTGGTACTGGCTTGTGACCAGAACCTCACCTAGCATTACAGAGCTCTATAAAGAGTTTGGCTCGCATTTGATTCAAGAAATTGGTGATAGCTGTTCACATCTAAACTCTTATAACTTACAAATGTGTTGGCATAGTGCCTAGTTTCAACCTGTTACATGCATTGCTGTACAGGAAACAGCTTTGAAAATTGGGATTGAGAACAAACAAGTCTATGTGAGCACGTCCTTTGGGGCCTGCTTCTCTTATTCTTGCTCTTAGAAAGAATTTCACTTAAGTTAATGGAGTATCCATAAGATGGATCATGTCCACTGTCTCCAAATGACTTGCTTTGGGTACTCCATGGTTTTAGGACCAAAAGGCCAGATAGGGTATTTGATCATTGGATCTATATCTGAATGGTTATGATTGTACCTGTTCCTAGCCTATTAAGACAACTAGATTCAAGTCGCAACAGATACAAAATCACACAAATACAAAACTTGCCCAAAGTAGAACAAAGTTTTGAATGTGGAATTTGGATTTGGGATCTTCTCTAGCCTGAAGCAAAGGACACTTGAGCGGTATGAAAATGAGCTGAAAACAAGAGGGAAGTGAAAGTTGCAACAACTTAACTTAGTTGCCTCTCTTAGGTTTTTAAACCATCTGAGTTAAATGGAGGCTAAGTTGAAAGCGGGACTAAAATACAGTTAAATCATCAGCAAAAATCACTGCTTTAAGCTATGGTAAACTAAGATGAGCCTCAGAAGCACACATTTCACTACAAACCCAAATATATTTAAAAAATGAAAACAAATGAAAAAAGAATGATAAATGCTAAACAAAATTGATGCTGTGAATATTTAACACATGCCGTTACCTTCATTAGGTATCTCTAAGTTGGCCTCAAGTTCACTGACAAAATATTCTGGATCTTTCTGCAAAAGAAAAGCCATATTTACTCGGACAGAAAATGACCCTGGTTATAAGAGACCCCCAATAATTAGATTCTATGTATAGAAAATTTATAAATCTGTTACAATTTTCCAGGTATAGAATCTAATTATTGGTGGTTTGCCTTGAATTTGTCCCTTTTCAACTGCTACAGCAGGGAAAATGAATCCGGAGGAGCAGATAGCTCTTTGTTCTCTGCTTCCCCACAACTTTCCCCCTCTCCTTACTGTCAGACCCTGGCTGTAGAAATTTGCATACAGTACCTGTAGTCTTAGTTCATCCAAAATTGATGCATGTTACCTTTTTTGAAATGCCTGCAAGTTTTAGCATAGGTGTTTCATAAACACGCTTTTGAGCAGCACATTGGCACCTACTTCTATCTAGAATAAACTAGGGCAAAATCAGGTCCAAATTCCAAATTCACTTTGGGGAAGCCCAAGAGTCAAGTTTGACTGAACTGAGCTCAGTCATCAAGCCTGTGTCACTCTACTGCCGGGCAAGTATCCTCCCTCCCAGAGCCAGAAGTCCATCAGATACTCCTCAAATCCACGGCAAGCAACCTACATGCAAGCCCCAGGCCTGAAAGCCGGAGAATTCGGATGCCCCATAGTCTCACTTGCTTTTAGCCAAAAGGCCAAGGAGCAAGATAGGGGGAAAGTGTGAAAATAGTCCCCCTTTGCTGCAAAATTGTGCCGCTGAGATCCCCACATTTGAGGAGACTCACAAAGGTCATCCTGCCCAGAGTGCAAAGGACAGGCCTAACCCTATACTTTACTTGTTCTTGGAAGGAAATGTGGAGGTGGTTCTCTTGCGTGTTCGTCACGGGTAAAGGGGAAGGAGATGGATGCGTGGGAGCGTGGGTGCAAAGTATGGTCATTGCTACAGGAATGAGGATGGTGTAACTGTAAAGGTATGTTTACAAAGGCCAAGGTTTCTGGGGCTAGGGCTTGCATGTAGGATGCCTACCAAAAAATAAAGATTCCCATCAGTATATTTGCCCAAGGGGGGCCATGCGTTTTATAGTCATACTCAGTGTTGGCTGCATTTAATCAGCTTCATAGTTGGTTGCCATTGCTCAGCACATGCTGCTTTGGGCAGCAGTTTAATGACAGACAATGTATTTAGTGAGATTTCCTTTTATGCAATTATAAGATGAGGGGCT